TTACCAAATCCATCAAATTTGCAATTACACAAGTATTAAACAACAATGTACCATTATTTTTGTAACGACCCCAAAATGCGTATAAGAAGTCATCCTTGTTTAACTATGGGATAATGTATTTTAATTTAATTATATCTATTAGAATTGAAGAACTATCTGTTGAGTTATGACTTTAAAACCGGAATTGACGACCTTTGTGAGTTCAGAAATCGGAATTGAGTACATAGATATATTAATGAGAATTTTTAGAACTATTTGGGAAAATTAATTAGAAATCTAATTTGTCTGATTCGTTAATGTACGTTTGGGTGGTTAACTTGGTACTGCAAATTGAAGGTCTTAGAGGCTTCAGAAACCAGAACAAGGGACATATTTATGATCAGCACAATTTTTAGAGTCTTCTGGGAACTTTAATTGAAATTTGATTTCCTGCGATTCGTAAGGCCACGTTTGGCTCTCCCTATTGTGTTAAACCATGTGTGTGTGTGTGTGTGTTTATTTAGATATATAGATATGTCTTTGAGTGGTTGGTCTCATCTTTTGGGAGCCAAAAAATCTAAAAGAGAGAGAAGAGAACCGTGAGGGAGAAAAGAGAAGAAACACCAAGATTCTTGAAGAAAAGCTTAACAATCATGGGGGTTTGAAGAAGATTGAAGGGAATTGAAGAAAGAGAAGGAAGCTCACCCATGGAAACTTGAAGGAAATTGAAGAGAGCTAAGAGATAGACAAAGATTAAGCTAGGTATGATCATCTATCTTAAATCCTTATGTTTAAAGCATCAATCACATGATATCAAGGATTGATATGGAAGATGTGAACTTTGAACCCCAACTATGGTTATATTATGTTCTTGTGTTCTTGTGCTTGGGAATTGAGTAATATTTTGAGGTTTGATGGAGATTAATAATGTGAAATTTGTTATGTATTAAAGGGTTTTGGCCTTTGATTTACATGGAATTGAGGTTTGATTTTGAAAATGAGAAGTCCCAATTTTTCAGCCATTTTCGGACTGCAAACTGTCCAAGGCCGCACGTGCGGCTCTGTTTCCCGCACGTCCGGGAGACAGCTCTGTTCCGCCAACTTCAAATAAGCATATCTTTTGCCTCAGGACTCCATTTTGAGTGATTCTTGAGCCTAAAATCAAGCCCCGGAAGTCTAGTTTCCAATGGCGGTGGTCTCACTCCCACATTCTAAATAGAGAAATAGTTATGCCCAAATTAGTGACAACTATTCACTTTCTGTCAACCAATTTTATACCATTTCTTCACCTAAACCATTTCCCATCGATTTCTCCTGTTTTCTGAGATATGGATTATGACTTATTAAGGAATAATGAGCTTGGTACCACCATGGCTAATTGATTGAATGATCAAAGAGAATAAGTAAAGGATCGAGTGTAATCTCATATTATGTGTTGTGCACTGTACTTGTAGGTCGAGACGAGGACGTCGTCCCATTACTACCGGGAGCCGATCACTGTGAGCAGTAGTAGTGTAACAATATGTTTCACTTACTTCCTTTGTCACAACCCATGAACCCGCCCCTAAAGGTTTGGGCATGACCTAAGCAAAAACTGACATAAAAACTGATGTACACACCGTACGGGGCCTTATCGGAAGCATAAAATATTAATATAACAAAAATACAAGCATACTCCATTGAGCTATTTCTAATATGCCAGGATCTCATGCATTACATACATCATCAAAAGCGGATAAAGTTTAAAACTATATCCTTGGATATCGTGTATAACATATACATTTACAGTCCTAGCCCGATAATTGGGCATAACAAAAGGAATATAAAAGTTAAGTACAACATCCGTAGGTGGCTCTCAAAAGCAGACCCATAACTTAGCAGCTTCACAAAAATAAATGGCCTGGTATGGTGCCTGAACATGTAAAGGTTGACAAAAGGGACAGCGTCAAAGTTAGGACTGACCCCCTGACTGATAACCTACAGAAACAGACATAATAGAGAGTGAGCCGAGCTCAATGAGCAGTAATACATAATGAAAGACGTCTGACTTGAAGCTTAAATACATCAATACATAAAAAAATGTAGCATGCACATGATTTGTCTGATTCTGCATTTAGCTCATAATGGCCCTAGGCCTATTCCCGTGACATAAGCTTGTGGCTATAAGCCCTTGAAACATGATGGCACGAAGCCCTTGAACATATGGCACGAGGCCCTTGTAAATATGGCACGAGGCCCTTGAAAATATGGCACGAGGCCCTTGAAAATATGGCACGAGGCCCTTGAAAATATGGCACGAGGCCCTTGAAAATATGGCACGAGGCCCTTGAAAATATGGCACGAGGCCCTTGAAAATATGGCACTTGAGACATTAACATAATTGCCTTACATGCCTTGAAACATTGACATGATTACATAACATTACGTAGGTACTACTACTCACAGTGTTGAGGTGGCGTGTTGCCTCCTTCTGGAATGTGCCCTGCACACACACAATTAATACATTAGTTTCTTTTTTTATAAAGCATTTCCTGAGTCTTACACCTTGCATGCTTACAACCGCTTTAAAATCATCTGTAAAATATTCTAAAAATACCAGAGAAACAAGCACTCAAAGCTGAACAAACATTTAATTTTTCCTGAAAATGAGTCCCCCGCTCGAGCGTAACTTTGGCCGCTCGAGCGGACTGTAAAATGCACAAAACTGCTGAGAGGTGGTTTTTCCCGCTCGAGCGGGCTTTCCTACGCTCGAGCGGACCAAGCGAATTTCTGAAATTCTGGACTTCCATTGGGGTCCCAACCTGGTATTCACTTCATTTTTACATGCAACCCAAGGTTAGGTTAATGCAATATTCCCACCTAACATCACTACAACATGGATTCTACATTGAGTATAACAAATTAACCAAGATTAGAAGCTTCAACAAGCCATCTCTCTCTCTAATTCCATTCTTGGATTCAAGTTCTTCATATCTTTGAAACATAACACATGATATACGCATAATTCCATGAAGTGATGATAGAAAACCATAGATGGAAGTATAATTCCCTACCACACTCAATCTAGATGCCTAAGCAACCGAGTGAGAGAAACCCTCATTAATCAAGCATGAATTGGACATGAATCATACATACACATCAATTACAAACTCTAAGTAGCCATAATAAGAAGGATTTGAGCTTACCTTGAATTCAATCCTACACCTCTAACAACTTTGCCAAGCTTTCTTGTTGGATCCCTTCTCCCCCAATTTCTCTTCTTCACTTTCTCTTCTTTTCTCCCCCAAAAATGGTATTCACGTTTTGTTTTCCTTTTTTTTTTACTAAGGCTCATGAAGTCTTAGAAGTACATATGCATAAATAAGGCATATAAGACAAAAATGAATCGTTTAATCACTCCAAAATTAAAATTTCGCAATCATGCTTAATATTACTTAAAAATTATGCTGATCACAGATATATAATCAATTTCAACTAATTAAGCTGTTAAGACTTCCAATTTCTAATGCAAACGTGTTAATGGTGACAGATAGTTTCCTTGTGAGACAGATAGACATTCATAGACATGGATTTCACTTCCTTAATCGTAATTTTTCACGGAACTACACAGTAAGCATTTAAAAGTACCATTTGAGGACTGAGAATATAACAAAAATCATGTACGAGGGTCGGGTTATTACATCCTGTGATTATGATTTATGTATTGTTATTTGTGAATGGTCTATTCCATTGATATTGTGCATTGATTCAATTAGTGGGTATGCTTGAATAATGGCATTGATATGGACCTAGGGTCGTTCTGCCCCTAGTAATAGACGTGGGCCCAAGGCCATTATGATGTGAATTGTTCTGTCCCTATTAATGCAGTGATACATTTGCCTACTGTTAATAGTTATCATTAATGTTCTGTTATTCGCAAGACAACTATGTCGACTTGTAATAAACCATGGGAAAATCTTTGTACACTATTGAGGAATAGTACTATAGCAGTACGTTTTGCTTACTGTTAATAGTTAATACTGACGTTCTGTTATCTACAAGTTAACTATCTAAATTCATGATGAACAAATGGAACATATGTGTATTATGGAACAATGATATCTTTGTATATCTGGAATCATTCTGTTTTGTTAATAATGGGCCCGAGGCCAATCTGTTGATATCTGGGCCTGAGGACGCTCTGCATAATATGTTGGGCCTAAGGTCGTTCTGTATTATCTGTGGGCTTAAAGTCGTTCTGTATCATATCTGGCCTTACTGCCGATCTGTATTATATATGGGCTTACAGCCATTCTGTTTTATATCTGGGCTTATAGCCGATCTGTATTATATCTGGGCGTATAGCCATTCTGTATTATATCTGGGCTTACAGCCGATCTGTATTATATCTGGGCTTACAGCCATTCTGTATTATATCTGGGCTTACAGCTGCTCTGTAGTATATATGGGCCTGAGGCCGTTCTGTGTTACATGTGGGTCTGAGGCTGTTTTAAAATATGATTATGTATAAGATCTGTGTACGGTTTGATATGCGTATTTACATTCTCTACTTCTATGCTCAATTAATTAACCTCCTTACATTGCTATTATTCACCGAGCCTTGCTCACTCCGTTTTTATGAATATTTCTGTAGGTGAGCCGTCGGAGATTGACACTAGAGTTGTACTAAGGTTCGCCTGTCTGCCAAGTCACCTGGGGTATGTCTCCGTGTAGAGGCCGTAATTTTGATTACTGGGAGTTGTGTAATTTTTTAAGTCTTATGTAAGAGTATGTGAGATCTATATGAATTTTGTGATTATATATATAACTCTGGGAATGTATTTAAATGCTTAAATCCAATTAAACCATCATGTATGCACAAGCTCAATGGATGTTGTCCTTTGTTGATATTACTTCTGCCTAAGGCCCCATATATGGTTAAATATTATTTTAAAATTCTGTTTTGAGGCCTATGTACAGGCCAGTCATGGACCAAACTTTTAGGGGCAGGTTTGGGTCGTGACAATTTTCATAACCTATACCTACACAAAATGATTTCCATTGACAAATCCAATGGCAATCTCGCGACGATCAGCTAGGGTTACTGGCGGTGATCTCAAAGGTAAGAAAGTGAGACATTGTTGTAATGCCAAGTGGTACAAGACTACATTATAAAATGATGCAATAAGATGCCCCATGTCAGGCATAGTCATCCAACGATCAAAGCCTGGGCTATCTTCAAAATATGAAAGGATGTGTGTCGGTTCCTCAACCCTCTCATGCGACCTGTATAGTACGATGTATTTATCTCTATGATTATTCAATTCAAGTAACAGATCATGCTTAACTTTCACATAGTCATTCTGTCCATGACCAAGTAAACCCGCAATAGCTCTAAAATCACAATTCCCATCACCATCTACATCCTTCATCAACTTTATGAATGGTATTAACATAGGCGAGAAGTCACCAGCATATGCACTCGGTAAACTTTTTCTTGTACGATATGTCTTTGTCTTCACATTCCACTTCTTCTCATGCACTTTTGAAGCTCTCTTTTTCTTTGACTGACTAGAAGCTAATATGCTCTGGCTATCATGGCCATCGTCAACTAACTCAAATGCACACGGGTACAACGACAAGATATATCAATTTTCTTATGTCCTTGACATGGATTAGGTTTCACATTAGGCTCAATAAGAAAAGTGCTCGCTGGATTTGCAATTTCCCTCAACTTCTTCAACATATCCAATTGCGTGGCAATATCAGACTCATTGAACCGCTTCAAAATCATCTCAAGTTCTGGGATACAAGTCAATTCCAACTTCTCAACCTTTGGATTATGCACACATATAGTAAGTCATGTCTAATATACATGTATGCTAGTGAGTGGAATAGAACGACCTTGTCTCATGTAATCTGCAATCTCGTGAGCACAAGGTAAACCATGTGTACACCTAAGAACACACCCACATGCTGCAACATCAATTCCAACTGAATTTGCTCTCTTACTCTATGTTAACACGTACTCCAATGCACAAATAGACACATTACCCCGAAGCTCTCTGAATTGAGAAGGTTTGAATTGATGTTGCACAGTTGTCAAACTCTTCTCGAATGATGCTTTAACTTAAATGTGTTACAACTCAAGTAAACAATGTATTTTTTCAAATGAAATCTCAAATGTCATTTGACTTGAACCTAATTGCCTCTTCAATCTAGCATGAGCACTCTCAACCTTGTTCGTATGGATGTAAACCAAAATAGTCAAGCATAATAATTAAAAATAGCAATATGATTTATAATAAATTAAAAAAAAAATCTTACCGATTGGTTGTAACATTACCAAAATGCATACACATGTTCGTATGTACCGCAATGAATTTTTCTTGATACGGATTCAACCAACTCACAGTAGCATACTTGATTGCCTCTGAATAGTTACTGAAATCCTCATGTAGTATTGCAAGGTGATCATTGTATTCCTCTTCAGTCGATGACAATATCAAATAGTTCCATGCAGTGTTAAACTTGTCCCATTTTTCTTTTGTCTCACAAATTTTCTTGTATTTTGTCAATACATTCTTATTAATATGCCAAGGACATAACAAATGTCGAGCATTCAAAAAGGTGTTGTCAATGGCATTCATCAAAGCAAGCTTTTTTTGGTGAATAACATCAAAGCAAGCTCTCTGTCTATGACAATGACTTCAGGTAAAACACTGTCGTCCATAAGATCACGCAATGTTTGTAATGCCTATGCATAATTATCAACCCGCTCAGTTTGCAAGTATGCGATAGCCACGAATAATGTCATATGAGTTGATGTCACTCCCACAATTTCAAGAAGAGAAAGCTAATGTCTATTCGTCTTATATGTGCAATCCATAATCAACACACGAGGGAATGTACGAAGCAAATCCAAACTCACTGGATGTGCCCAAAACAAGTCTGTGACAGTCATAGAGCCTTCTTCACCTCGATGATGCTCAATGTACTTATGTTTTGCTAATTCACCCAACCGTTGCTGCACTTGAGATCTACCATCTTTCTGTAGAACCCTCAATCGATGTCGTACATTGTAAACTGTCTTCATTGTGCTCATATTAAGGGCACCCCTCTATTTGAGTGTAATGAGTAACTTTTTTGGTCTTACTAGGCTCTCTGACATATCTACTAACATTGACTTTTCATTAGCTGACAATCTCCCTACATATGAATGTCCTTGGAGATGCTCCACAGCTGGATGATTATATAGCCCGCAAACTACATTCAATGTCCATTCATCGTTTGTTTTCAACTTGAATGCCCTCAAATCAAATGAACATTCGTATTTCTTCGTACCAGTTTGTCTCAATAAGTCTTTTGAGCCATCTTTCAACTTTTTACATGATCTATACTTCCTACTCCACTCATAAGCAAGATAAATTATTGGTCTCTTACAACTGCCATCATAGTCCGACGTCCTTATAATAATAACAAAGCCATTTATCCTTCCAATGTCACGTACTCAAGTGAGCAATTCATCTTTGTTGTCGAAAACATATATATAATGTCACACAACTTTCATAAGAACAAATTAAACAAACTAACTAATACAAATTATGAACTTACGAATTTTATGTTAAAAGTTATCTGTTTAGCTGTAAAATAACTAGTACAATCAACCATAATATCTGATCGAATCTCAGTTTCTTCAATGCATGCCATCTAAAAAGAAGGGGGAAAAATTTTCATTCGGTTTTACAGAGCCGAAATAAATAAAAACATTCGGCACTATAGGGCTGAAAATTTTTTTAAAAAAATTCAGCACTAAAAAAATGATAATAACAAAAAAATGTAGCACTATATAGCCGAAAAAATTAATTATATTCAACACTTAAGTACCGAAAGAAATTAAAAACTCAGAATTAAAGTGTCGAAATATATAAAAATTCAGAACTTTCGTATCGAAATATTAATGTTATTTCGGCAGTTGATTTTCAAATTGATTTATAAAATTCGGCACTGAGTCTCCGACTACAAAACATAAAAAAACAAAAAATTACTACACAATTTTACCTTTTTATTACTGATTTTGCTGTCACCACTGCTTGAGTTTGAACTTCTATAGGTTTGCAACTCTTCCATATCAAAATCAAGTAAAAATTGTGGAACTAATAATTAAACGATGTAAATAATCGATCATAAACCTAGAGATTAAAACAATACGAGAGATGTTTTGAGAGTATTATTCAAGCAATAGAGGAGTACAAAGTGTGTAACAAGTAAAGTGACAATAATGAAAAAATTAGGGTTTAATTGTTTTCATTCAAAAGGTATATATTGATATATTTTTGTTCCTAAAAGATGTGTATAGAAAATTTTTCTATATAATATTATGAGTGTTGATGAATGTCTATTATAATAATTTTTATTTAAGATATAATTATTATTAAATTAGTTTTTCATTAAATATATGTCCTAAACTAATCAAATATGTAAAAATAAGATTTTCCACCATATATCTATTATTTTTTAATCCCTCAATATAAAATTATAAACCCTATCGCATTCACTAATTACAATACATACTAGACATCACGCAACCGTATGCTGACCACCAAATAAGTTAATTACAATACATACTAGACATCACGCAACCGTATGCTGACCACCAAATAAGTTAATTACAATACATACTAGACATCACGCAACCGTATGCTGACCACCAAATAAGTTAATTACAATACATACTAGACATCACGCAACCGTATGCTGACCACCAAATAAGTTAATTACAATACATACTAGACATCACGCAACTGTACCTCAACTGTTAATTCCAACTATAGGGCCGAAAATTTTTTTTAAAAAAAATCGGCACTAAAAAAATGATAATAATAAAAAAATTTAGCACTATATAGCCGAAAAAATTAATTATATTCAACACTTAAGTACCGAAAGAAATTAAAAACTCAGAATTAAAGTGTCAAAATATATAAAAATTCAAAACTTTCGTATCAAAATATTAATGTTATTTTGGCAGTTGATTTTCGAATTGATTTATAAAATTCGGCGTTGAGTCTCCGACTACAAAACATAAAAAAACAAAAAAATTACTACACAATTTTACCTTTTCATTACTGATTTTGCTGTCACCATTTCTTGAGTTTGAACTTCTATAGGTTTGCAACTCTTCCATATCAAAATCAAGTAAAAATTGTGAAACTAATAATTAAACGCTGTAAATAATCGGGTATAAACTTAGAGATTAAAGTAATATGAGAGATGTTTTGAGAGTATTTCTCTTTGCAAGTAACAGAGGAATACATAGTGCATAACAAGCAAAGTGACCACAATAGAAAAATTAGGGTTTCATTGTTTTGATTCAAAAGATGTATATTGAGATATTTTTGTCCATAAAAAATATGTATAGAGAATTTTTGTATTTAATATTAGGAGTGTTGATAGATGTCTCTTATATTAATTTTTAATTAGGATATAATTGCCATTAAGTTAATTTTTCATTAAGTGTGTGTCCTGAGTTTATTAGGTAGGGAGAAATAGAATTTTTTTTTTTTTAATGAAATCTGACCAAACAAAAATGAGAAAATCACAATTATTTCTTTTTTTTCTCTTGTAACTTAAAATAATCATTTCTTTCTTTTGTCCCTGATTCTCATGCATAAGAATATTTTGAGACGATAATTAAAAATTGGGAGCTTCTATCTACACATACCAAATCCCCTTTATACACACACTTAATGATATTTAATTTTATTACAATTGTATCCCTAAGTGAAATTACTATTTTAGACATCTTTGTTGATTCAAACATCTCAATACACACATCCATCTATACACATCTGTTGCATCGTGCACACATCCATCCAATTCAAAATGGCTCCAAGTTTGTAGCTTCATTGAGCTAGAAGTGAAAGCAGAATTCACTCATTCGTAGCTTCTTCCAAGTTCACTGAGCTAGAAGTGAAACCAAAGGGCTCTGGCATTTCCGTATTGCACATGTACTGCAGCTTCTCTCAATGCACTCATTCATCAACCTTCGTCATTCGTAGGGAAAGCATCATTGTTATGGAGGATTTTCCTTCTGAAAATCAGCAAATAAGTGTTTATGAGAAACATAGCGAAGGAAATGTGAGTTTCTCTCTTCTTCTTTTTTTCCAGCGTCGTTCGGATAACCAGAGTCAAATTGTATTATTTGGTTCGGAAATCTACTACCGAAATAAGTATTTATTTTCGGAAGTTGTTGTCCGAACAAAGTAATTAATTTCGAAAGTTGTTGTCCGAACAAAGTATTTAAATTCGGAAGTTGTTGGCCTAAAAAAGTTAACTTTTACAACATTCAACTTCCGAAATTTGAAAATAAATTCGGGCAACTACTTCCGAATGAAATAAAAAAAAAAAATCCCATTTTATATTCCAAATTTGCAAACTGCATACCAAATTTACAGTTTCGAATTGTAAATTAATCTTTATAATGCCATAAAAATTTGTAATGTTATACAAGACATGTAGGAATATGGGTCAACTCAAGGAAGTCAAGTTTGAGCGGATTTTGTGTTCGATTACACTACTCAATTCACAACTGAACAGGTTCACTCTACGAAATTATAATGATTATGTTTCGAATTGCTCACCAAATGTAAATGTTTGATAATATTTATTTGACTTTGTAGGTATTCAAAAGTAAGGATGAATTGCTCAACTGGGTACGTGAAGTTGGAAAGAGAAATGGTTTGGTCATTGTAATCAAAATATCAGACTATGGTGGAGGGAAAAAAAGACCTAGGATGTATCTTGCTTATGAGATGAGTGGCCAATATAGAGCGACAAAGAAGTTAAAACATGATGGCAATAATACATCAAGAATAACCGGTACGAAGAAGTGTGGTTGTCCTTTTGATATGAGGGCTCACAGGTTTACCACACATGATGAATGGACATTGACTGTAGTATGTGGATTGCATAATCATCCACCTGTGGAGCACCTTGAGGGACATTCATATGCGGGGAGGCTATCAAAGGATGAGAAAACATTGTTAATGGATATGTCAAAGACCATGGTTCGGCCAAAAGAAATCCTAGTGACCTTGAAACAGCGAGATGCCCTCAATGTAAGCACACTTAAAACCATTTACAATGTACGCCATCGAAACAAGGTGGTACAAAGAGCTGGAAGATCACAGATACAACACTTATTGGGTGAATTGGCCAAGTATAATTACATTGAGCGCCATCGGTCTGAAGAGTCCACGATGACTGTGACAGACTTGTTTTGGGCACATCTGTAGACGCGCCCGCATGGGGCCCTCGCTACTACAGTTCGGACTCGATTTATGTCACGGTTCTAAGTCTGAACCAAAGAGTCCAAATCCGGCAAATCGTTTTAAGAAACAGATTTTTGAAAAGAAGTGCCAAACATGGATTGCTTTGCCAGATACAGAGTCGCCACCTAAATATTTTAAAATGGGGGAATTTAGGAAACCCTGACTCAGTGCCAAAGGCCACGTGTTCGTCATCACCAAAGTTGCCTCGGCTTGGGAGCTTGGGTACGATTGGGGAAGGTCAGCTATGAGCACCCCCTCTCGCCCGGTCCGAAGACCGGCCTCTACTAACCGTGATATCTGATTTTGAAAACGTTATGTGTTCTTATCCCGATTATTAGCCTAGAATTACTACGTTATGCGCACATCAAACAAGTATAGACTAGATTGCCTAATTTGGAAATAAGTGTTGCATATCCGTTTGTTTTGGAAAAATGTTTTGGAATTTGCTACCCGTAAGTAGGCTAAAACACAGATTTCAACGAGTGTTTCCAACTCAGACAATCCAACCTTCACCCACAGGCATTCAAACAGTTTATCACATAAGCATCTAGCCACATGGTAAGCATGCTGTCATGATAGCATTCACACGCATGAGACATGCTAAAACATGAAAATACTTACATCGTACTCCATGCCAAAACAATAAACTCGTTAGTAAACAATGCATGATCCAAGTCCATGTTTGAATGTCTAATGCAACACATACAGGATGCAATTAGAGTAGGCTCGGTTAACCTAAACATGGGATGTGAAATGCAATCAATTGATGCACATATTCAATTTGGAATTGAAATACAAATGCAGTTAGCATGATGCACCGAGCCCAGTGCATGCAAGACAAATGTATGGATGCACGCATGCATAGCATAAGGTATGCTAATTTAAATATGCCCTAGTCTACCATCATAAGCAGGTAAATAAAAGGGAAGAAAGAAGTGGGGATTGGAAGACATGCACACACTCACCCACACTTATTACAAGTTTACCCTCGCTCGGAGGGACCGAAAGAATAATACAGATAATTAACCTACAAGCTAATTAATTATTACAAATCACCTAATTAGTTAACAAATTAACTAAGCTAGGAAAGAAAAACAGACAAGCCGCCTCGGGAAAAGAGCCCAATGCGATGCATGCTCGGTCCTGCTCGGAAGTACACTGCCATACATGAGCTGCCTCTATTTTCCCTGCTGTACTCCTCTGAAGACTGTCAAAGTCTCAGAGTTGCTTCCCTGGACATTGGGAGACACCACTGGCTGAGTATAATGGTCACCGGCAGTGGTCTGGTGGTCATCGGCACATAATGGATCCATCGGCTGCCGGTTTATTGTCGGTCGGCACTCTATGAAGTCGATCGGTAGAGAATGCCTGCAGAACCTGTTTGACAGCAGCAGAGGACAGAACTTTGCATGGCAATGCAATTCAAGCCATATATGCACCTACCAAGCCCCTTTGCATGTGTATGACTCAAAGGGACATGCTCCTTGGTTCTCGGACCACCAATCGCGCATTTCGATGCTTGATGGCCCAAGGGACCAAGTGTGCACATTTTGATGTTAAGTGCAATGCAAACCAACAAACCAATGGGACTCAACCTCTATCACAAGCACTTCAAGAGGCCAAGCATGCATGCAAATGGGATACAATCCTAGGCATGTGAGCTAAGGATGCAACATGACAATGCAATGCATTCATGCAATTATGCAAGCAAATATGTGAGGCAAACATGCAAGCAAGCAAAGGGTGGACCCAAACATGGTTTAGGCAGCCTTCACTAAGCCCAAAAACAGCGGCCAAAGTGCCCAAAATGAAGGACTAATGGCATGCAAGCATGCATGTATACAAGGACCAATACTCAAGCATAAAAGGGCGACTCTCAAGCACACTTGAAAGAGGCATAACATGGACTAATTGCATGCAAGGTAAGCATTGAAAATCATGTTACAAAAGGTGCTAAGCCAATTTAAACAAGACAAACATTAGCATGCAAACAAAGCCAAAATCCAAGACAAGTCAAGAGGCTTAAACCAAGTCTAAATCAACCAAGCCTCACAAGGCTAAGAGGACTTAAAATAGATCTAAGGCAGGCCTAAACAACACCCAAGGGACACCTAGATGGCATCTAAGTGGCTCAAATTCAAAGGCATGCACATTGACCAAAACATGGAGCATGCAAGACAAGATTTCAAAGCTCCAAAGAGGCATCCAAGGCAAGCATACAAGCATGTTAAAGGGACTGAAATAACATGGCAAATGGTCCCAAATCACTAAATTAAGGCAAGGATGCATGCTACACAGTCACACACTTAAGGCCAACAAGCCAAAAATGCAAAGGGGCTATACAATGCATGCCATGGTCGACCCAAACAACTATGGACAGACCTTAAACATGGCAAAATAAGCATGAAAGATTCACAAGGCTAAGCCTAAAACATGCTAGAACAAGGGTTTACAACCTAAGGCATGTTAAGGCAACAAAGTGGCATTACAAGGTAGGTATGCTAAGCATGCATGGTGTACCAAAACCAACTAAAAATAGAGGCATATTATGACATAATAAGCACAAAAAACAGCCAAGGCATGGTCAACAAGAAGCTTAGCTAGGTGCTCCCTTAAGAGGCCAAAAATGGTCCATTTCAAGGACAACAAGGAGAGGGGGTGACCCTCTCCTTCTTGGGACCTCAAGGCGCCATCCTCACCTATGAAATCCCTCAAGATTTCAGTGGTGAGGAGGCCCAAACACCAAGGTCTCGGAGCTTACGCAAAATAACACAAAATGGAGCCTTACAAGGCTTAGGAGGGGTCAAACAACCTCAAACCACAAAACACTCTAAACAAACTATTTAGAGAGCCTAAAAACAGAACTTTTTTATATTATACACTAAGTTCAAAAACAGTTCTAAGATAGGCAAAAATAGTATGCAAAAATGGGGAATAAAGGGGTAAGATTGTTACCCTTGTAGACCCTCTTCAAAGATGAAGCTTCAGCTGGTTCTTCAAGCTCAAAACCACCCAAGAACCTCAAGAACAACCTCTGGTCCTTCGAGAAACCAAGGAAAGGTGTAACACTATGTGTTTGTGTGCAATAGTAAGACACAAACACACTTATACACACACAAAGGCCAAATGAGAGAGAGGTATAGAGATAGAATATGTATGGAACCCTAAACCTAAAACCAGAGCTCTCACACAACTTTTCTCTCTAAAATGTCTAACCTAGAACCAAGAGGGGAGGGCTCCTCTTATAGAGGAGCCAATCTTATGAAGCTTACAAGGTAAGCTAACAAGGAGTCCATCCCTCCATACACGTGTATGGAGGGGAACAAAATGCCATACAGCTATATTAAAATATCTGCAAAAGCAGATGAACAGTAGTCGGCTGCTCAAAATCGCCATTTTTTCAAAATTGAGTGCTGACCGGCAACAAAGAATGCCGACCGGCAATATACATTGCCGATGGCATCAAAACACCAGCCGGTGGCCTCTGGCCATGGCCGGTGATGTGTGGGGATGCCTCACAAGGCATTCCCTTCCCCTCCAAGGCAAAACACAAGTGTTTGGTGCAAAACCAGACACTAAACAGTCGAGTTCGGAGATCCTGAGGCAAGGCACATAGCCGAGACCTCCAGGAACTCCAAATGAACACAAACAAGGGTAATCACCAAGTGTTCCAATGGTGACGTCCAAGTCTTGAGGACGGTCAAAAATGGGGTGTCTACAACATCCTACCAGTTTGGACTTATTTCGATCTTTCCCACATATATTAATTATGGATTACACATATAAAACCAACAGATATCGTCTTCCTCTTCTTGAAATTATGGGAGTGACATCAACTGAAATGACATTCTCTGTAGCTTTCGTATACTTACAGTATGAGAGGGTCGATAACTATGCGTGGGTGTTAGCTACATTGCGTGATGTCATGGATGGGTTTGTTGTGCCAACAATTATTGTTACTGATAGAGAGCTAGCCTTGATGAATGCCATACAAAAGATATTCCCAAGTGCCAGACATTTATTATGTCGTTGGCATATCAGTAAGAATGTATTGACCAAATGCAAGAAAATGTTTGAGACACAGCAGAAATGGGAGAAGTTCAACCATGAATGGAACTCTTTAGTGTATTCATCTTCTGAAATTCAATATGATGAGCGTCTTAAATCATTACTTAAGGAATTCAGTAGTTATCCTGATACAGTCAAATACGTCATGGATACTTGGTTGGTTCCTTACAAGGACAAATTTGTGGCGGCATGGACAGACACGTGTATGCATTGTGGCAATGTTACAACGAACCGGTAAGATTACTTTTCTTCAATATGTTATTAATAAGTGCCATGTACTTGATTTTAATTTGACTTACATTGAATTCAACAGGACTGAGAGTGCACATGCAAAACTTAAAAGACAATTGGGTTCATGTCAAGTCTCATTTCAGGCATCATTTGAGAAAATACACAGTCTGCTTGAGTTACAACACACTGATATCAAGGCTTCATTTGAGAAAAGTCTAACTGTTGTGCAACATCAATTTAAACCTTCTCACTTTAGGGAGCTACGGGGTAATGTGTCTATCTCTGCATTGGAGTATTTGCTTGTAGAGAGTAAGAGAGCCAATTCCATTCGTATTGATGTTGAAGCTTGTGGATGCATCCTTCGCCACACTCATGGTTTACCTTGTGCCCATGAGATTGCTGACTACATCGGACAAGATCGTTCTATACCACTTGTTACCATACACTCACAGTGGAGGCAACTTCATATCTCTATATGCAAGAAAGAAGAGGAAACGGAGGTGACTTGTCATGCAGAAGTAGAGTTGTTTATGAACAAGTTTAATGAAAGTGATAGAACCATGCGGTTGGAGCTTTTGAAGAAGTTGAAAGAAATTGTATATCCGGGAAGCACTTTTCTTGTTGAGCCGGAGGTGAAGCCCAAAACACGTCCTCGGGATCATAAGAAGATCAATGTTTCTACCCATCGTGACCCGTGTGCATTCGAGTTGGTGCAATCTGGACATGATTCCTTCTCATCTAGGGACACTCAAATCACTACATTAGCTTCTACTCTGCAAACCAAGAAGAAGCGACCTGTTAAGGGAAAGGAGAACGTGAATCCGAAAGGGAAGGTATACATTACTAGAACAGTGAAACCTGGTGCATATGTTGATGCTTTCCCTGTTGGGTTGAAACCATACATTAAGTTTGTCAAGGATGTAGCTGCAAATGGGAATTGTGGTTTCAGGGCTATAGCTGCATCAATTGGTCATACAGAAGATGATTGGGCTCAGGTTAGGCGTGATCTGTTGGGTGAGCTGCACACATACAAAAAGGAATACATTACACTTTATGGGTCCTACGAAAGGTTTGAAGAATTGACAAGCATATTGTCATACTTTGAAGACAGTCCTGGATACTCACATTGGATGACTATGCCAGACATGGGGCATCTTGTTGCATCATGCTACAATCTTGTGTTATAACACTAGTCATTATAGTAATGTCTCACCTTTTTACCTCTTAGAACAATGCCAGTACCTCAACTTGATAGACGTGAGATTGCCATTGGGTTTGTCAACGGAAATCATTTCATCCAGGTATGACAGAAACTTATCAATTGGGTTTGTGCATGTACAAGAGGTTATGAGGTATGACCACTAACTCAATTGATATTTGGTGCAGGTTTTGTTGCAGCCAGGCCATCCAGTTCCTCCTATAGCCACTAATTGGCGAAAATACCGTCACCCTTGCGCTGTCGACTGGGATGATGCATATGTGCGTTGCATTCAACATTTCATGATTCATGATAATGTAGCTACTCGAGAGACATTTGATGTTGTTGATGTCGCATGACACATGTATGCATTTGACAATGTTAGAATTATGGAAGAAATTAATGGATGTGTTTTTGATGTTGATGTGTTCTGTTTTGCAATGTGGATTGAATGTTATCGACCATTGTTACCATTCCATTGTAATAAGAAAATATCATTTACAAAATCAACGACCATTGTTACCATCCCATTCTAATAATACATTGTCATTACAATACCATTGTTGCCATTCCATTCTAATAAGAAAATATTAACCACTGTTACGATTACAACAATATCATCTTACAAAAAACACCAAAAAAAATTCATCAACTAACAAATAACATGTCACGAATCAGCTGTATGCCTATGCCTAGGCCTACGACTGTATGTCAATGTCGAAGATGGAAAGCGACCTCCAGTGTAACTAGGTCCAGCAGAACTAGGTCCAGCTTCGTCAATGTGCTGACCTTGAAGGACATGCATCATACTCTCGATAGCCTGGTAAAGTCGATAAGGATGTCAAATCCCCTCCTCATAACCAGCGTCAATAATAGGATGTGAAATCTGCAGTGCATGTGCAATATGCTGCATTTGAAAAGAATATCACATTTTAGGGAACATATCATAAAATAAAAAGTAAGTCACAAATGCATAAAAGAGGATAATATATTATATCGGCATGTTGGCTGAAATCCTGATGGTCATGGACACGCGGTTCATCAGTGTGCTCAACATATAGGTGCGTGACATTCTTATACCAATCCATGTAACCCGGTACACATTCCCAAGGCTGACGAACTGGTGTGCTCCTCCGTTGCTCAGATAACACGTGGTTATCCCAAGCCTCCCAGATCCTATCCAAGTAGCTATACATGACTGTATATCGTGCAGATAAGTTGCCTCGAGCACCATGACTGGGAGCTAGCGGTGCATCTGGGATGGTTTGAACCCTGCCAAACTGCCTCAGAACTCTAACTGGATGATAGGGTTTGACAACGTCTAAGCACTTTCAGCATCCATGGTAGAACGTAACCAGGTTACATAGATGCTAGTCTCTACAGCTATGGTATGGATCCCAAATAACCTATAAACGTAAAGTGTTTTTGAATTAAAGTATATAAATGGTAAGATAAATGGAAAGTGTTAAAATTATCTCAGGATGAGTAAACTTACATCAGTAGCTACCAAACTGTCAACCTCGGCTCGAAAAGATTTCAAATGATCAATAGAGGAACCCGCCTCTCTCCTAGATGCCCAATGGCACACGTGTGGCATGTCTTCATTGTGGCCCATGTTCTGGTGAGGTCGGAATGCTTGGAAGTGCTCATAAATCCACGCCTCCAAAAGAGTCATACAACCACCCATCTGCTTAACCCCGGACCGGCTAGCATACTCCAATTATCTTTATAAAAATGCTAATGCAGCAGCACCCCAGACGTAAGTATGAATGGATCCCAAATCCATCAATAAGCCAAGATAAACAACAGGAACCCTGCGGCCACTCTTGTCACTGAAGAGTGTACATCCCAACAGAAACAACAAATAAGCTCTAGCAGCGCACTGCATAGCCTCCTCGGGGTCTGAATCTGTAACACCAGCAAACTGACTTCGCAACCACTCAAGCCTGACTGAATTGGCACCAGCAGAAGAAACCTCTTCATGTGCTGCACGTTCAGTAATCCCAAAGCCATAAACCAGTAGTGTAACTCCATGATGATCTGTCACATCTGGTACGCTGATTGATTTGCCTATAATGGGAAGGCCAAGAATAGTGCCAACATCATCCAGGGTCAAGGTCATCTCACCAACTGTCATGTGAAATGTGTTCATCTCAGGTTGCCATCTCTCAACAAAACTGGAGATTAGAACTGTGTTGACGAACCGATAAGTGCAACGAGCTAACTGTGACAGCCCAGACTGCTCAATAATGGCTTTGAATCTGGTGTTGTTGTCTACTAACCACCATGGCCATGCAAGGATCTTCGAAAAGTGATTACGACACTTTAGGGGCCCTCGTTCCTATAACACAAATAATATCTCATTACAAACTACCATACAACACACACAGGAAAAAAAATTCATATACAAATGAATTTCACTTCTGCTCAGGAATGTTTACCTCCTCGTGCCAAACGCTGCAGCGACATGACTATTGAAACTCCGCAGTATTGATGGATCAGTCAATCCACCTGGAAAAGCATGAGTAAGGTCCTCTTCCTGGACAGGAGGAGAATCAGGTAAAAAGGCATGCTCCATAGCAATGTCAGGCATATCATAACTTTGAACTCATCTTTGGCTTCGGCTCCGACTTTGACGGGCACTGGGGATATCATATTCTACCGAAATTGGATCACGACCTCGACCACGACCTTGACCTCGTCCTCGCCCACGCCCTCATTCCCGTTCATGGTCTACATCCAATTCACGACGTCGCCTATTTGAAGCAGTAGGTGGGACACGTTGTTGACATTCAGAATCCATATTATCTCCAAAAAAAAATAAGTGTGTGTAATGAGTGTGTGCAACTAAAGAATGGCCATGCAAACAAGTGTGTGTAAATAAAGAGAGTGTGTGTAAAATTAATGAGAGTGTTTGTAAAATTATAATAAGTGTGTGTAATGAGAGTGTGTGTAAAATTATAATAAGTGTTTGTAAATAAAGAATGCCCATGCAAACAACAATATACATGGCCATGGTGGGGAAATTATAATAAGTGTATATTCAAGTGAAATTACTAATAAGTGTTTAACAAAATTATAATAAGTGTGTGTAAATTATAATAAGTGTGTTTATTAAGTGTGTGTAAAGAGGGGAATGGGGATATGGAAATATAAGCTCCCTTCAAACAACAATAAACAATAGAAGGGAAAAAAAAAAAAAAAAACCTGTTCAAAAGTTCACAACCGAAAATACATATTCTGTTCGAAAGTTGAAATCCGAAACACAAACATAATTTCGGAAATTGAGTGTTGTCCAAATTCAAATTTTTCGGAAGTTGACTATCGAAACAATGAAACATTTTCGGAAATCTACTGATAAAATTATTGATTATTTTCGGATTTCTACGTCCGAACAAATTGTTATATTTCGGAAAACCAGTTCTGAACGACGGTTACAAATGAAAAACTCTACATTACAAGTGAAAAACTCTACATTACAAATGAAAAACTCTACATTACAAATGAACATGGGGTATGCTAGCCGTTGGGAGCTATTTGGCAAATGAAAAAATTAAAGATTGGTGAAAAAAGTTGAGGCTTTTCCCATATTAAGCCAATTTACTATCTTAATTCCCAAACTAGGCCTAGTTTGGACGGATTTCCCAAACTAGGCTAAAGCGCTATTACAAATCACGCTTTCACTATTTGGAGTAGAAAAATTGATGAATAGTGAAAGCGCTATTACAAACCACGCTTTTAATTAAGGAAGTGTGGTTACAAACCACGCTTTTAACATAAATTTGTTTTCTGAAGAAAATGTGGTTCCAAACCACGCTTTCACTGTGCATGAGTTTTCTGAAGAAAACGTGGTTCCAAACCACGTTTTCACTGTGCATATTTTATTCTTAAGAAAACGTGATTCACAATCACGCTTTCACTGTGCATATTTGTTTTGTTAAGAAAACGTGATTCACAATCACACTTTCACTGTTAATAAATGAAAGCGTGGATTGAAACCACGCTTTTACAACTTATATAAAAACCCCAAGCCCCTCATTTGCAATCACATTTTTTACACTTACGTTTTTCTCAGACTCTCACTCTCGCTCTCACTCTTGCTCTCGCTCTCCCTCTGTGCTCAGACTCTCACTCTCGCTCTCCCTCTGCTCTTAGACTCTCTCTCTCTCTCTCCCTCTGCTCTTAGACTCTCTCTCTCTTTGCTCTCACTCTCTGTCTTTGCTCTCTGCTCTCACTCTCTGTCTTTGCTCTCTCTCTCTCTCTCCGTGGTATGGCATCTATCTCTCTCTGTCTCATCTGAATTTTGTGTGCTTATTGTAATTGTTAAAATGTGAATGTGTGGTTTTGAATTGGTAAAAAATGTTGTGGTTTTGAATTGTGAAAATTTTGTAGGGTTTTCAATTGAATGTGAAATCATAAATTATGAAATTAGAAATTAGGGTTATGAAATCATAAATGTGTTAGGGTTTTCAATTATGAAATGTGTGGTTATGAAATTATGAAATCATAAATTATGCTTGTGTTAGGGTTTTGAATTGTATGTGTTAGGGTTTTGAAATTATGAAATCATAAATTGTATGTGTTAGGGCTTTGAATTATGAAATGTGTTAGGGTTTTAAATGTGTGGTTATGAAATTATGAAATCATAAAATGTTAGGGTTTTGAATTGTGAAATCAGAAATTATGCTTGTGGTTTCAGAAATTAGGGTTTTGAATTTTGAATAGTGTCTATATTTTTTGCATTTTGAATTGTGAATCATGTCTATATTTTTTGAAATTAGGGTTTGGAATTTTGAATTGTGAATTTTCAATTGGAAATTATATTTTTTGCTTGTTAATAAAAAGAATTGAGAATTGAAAATTGAGAATTGAGAATTGAAATTCATATTATGAAATTCAAAACCCTAATTGAGAATTGAGAACTGAAATTTATATTGTGAATACAAAACCCTAATTCAAAACCCTAATTCATATTATGAGAATTGAGAATTGAAATTCATATTATGAAATTCATGTTTTGCTTCTTATTTTTTGCTTGTTAATTGAGAATTGAGAATTGAAATTCATATTATGAAATTCATGAATTGAGAATTAAGGTGGACTGGCAATTTCAATTCGAGGTCCACATGCTACATATATATGATCATTTTGTTTCAGAACATAAGACTGTAAACTGTATGATTGAATTCAAAATCTGAAAATTGAAATGAATCTGAAAAATTCAAAGTTGACAGATTTGAAAAATAAAAAATAAAAAATGAAAATGAATTTAGTGCATAACTGCCCATATAACTGATATATGGGTATTTTTGAAAAACCCAAAATATGAGACATAAACACCCAAAGAAGACTTCTCTTTGTAATAGTACTAGATATATATACACTTTTATTCAGTATTTCACCTTTATTCAGTGTTTAGAAATTGGATTAAAATCAAGACTAAAATAGTCAATTTATTATTCTCAAAGTAATTAAGGGATTAGTGTGAGTGATCTATTCCCTTTTGAATGAATTATTTTGCATTTGATTTTGGTCTAATCTCTTCATAGATATTATCCGTTGCACTTAATTCATGCATTGTGTAAAATTAAAGGATAAAAGTTGATGCAATTAGAGCTTCAAGAATCAAATTGATTTGAGACAAGAAGCAAACTACACGACTAGGGATTCAATTTGCCTTTTATTGCAAATGAAAATCATCTACATTGTTTTTAGGGGAAAGATCCGCATCAAACCCAAAAAATTTATACAAATTTTGTCAGTATATATCGCTGCTCTATTAATTTTTATTTTTCAAAATTTAATCTTCAATATCAAATTTTCTTTGTCTTTCTTAAATTTTAAGGAAGAAGTCCTAATAATTGGGTTAATTACTTAAAAGTCCTATTGGTAATGTTCATGTTCCATTAAGTTCTCTTTTTTTTTTGTTAACCCATCAAATCTTATTTTCAAAATATTTATTTATATAAAACTATTTTACCTTTATTAAAAGAAAAAGGAATTGTGTCAATTCCTTGAGTGTTAGTAGAAAATTATTAGGTGTTACAAGTGCACCACATGACAATGTTATCCACTAATCACCAAGCATTATACCTTATGCCGTAATACAAAATTGTAGGCCCCACCCTCCCTATCAATCATAAATATTTTGAAAATCACCTAACCATGCCTCAAAAGTACTAGATATTTTCTCTTATTCAAATAGTATTGCTGATGTGGAATTTTAATTTTTTTTTTTTCAAAACTTACAAATTTCATAATTTTTATTATACACATGTATTTTTAATAAAATATACATTTTTTGAGTCTACACAATGAGATTTATCAAACATGACCAATATTGAATTTAAAATTTAATAAAAATAAAATATTATTTTTTTAGTTCTACAAAACTAATAATTTCTCAGTTTGCGAAATTATCTAATAAAACTGAGAAAATTATCTAATTATCTAATAGAAAATCCAAAATATGAGACATAAACACCCAGAGAAGACTTCTCTTTATAATAGTACTAAATATAAATACACCTTTATTCAGTATTTCACTTGGTAATATCAAGGTGGGGTTGTATACTTGAATCTACCGTCTATTATACTATATGAGAAATGGTATTTGTCACCTGATTTATTTCACTATACTATTTTACCCTCTACGTGTATTTATTCAATTCAAGACATTGTGCATATTTAATAAAGGGCAAATTTCACTTCAATGTGCATGTGCAAACTACCCATATAATTTGGAAATAACTGTAATGTTCTTGTGGTTTGTGGACTAAATGAAGTATACCGTCAGACGTTCAATCCAAGTTAACATCAAGTGTGAAACGTGTGCTAGGTCATAAGGGGGTTATGTTCTTATTTTCAAATATCAGAGGTAAATCACACGTGGAGTAAACCAAAAGGGGTTAAAGTCAATTTTATCTTTCAAAAAAATGACAAATATGAATTTCATAATATGAATTTCAATTAAAATTACTAAGTGTATGGAAAGATTAACATTTTTTCCTAAGTTAAATTTCATGAAACTAATCTCTACTAAATGAAATTATTCAAAAAAATATATTTAATTTTGACTCTATTTTATTCAAAAAAAATATTTTTATTAACTTCAAAATAATAAATTAAAAGATCATGTTCTCTCAAATAAAAGACAAAATGACTATATTAACCTGAAAATACTATTAACCTGAAAATACTATGGTTGGTCTAATTAGGGGACTAATAAAGTTACGACAGACGAACTACCGCATTCAACTATAGCGATCCCGATTTCCCCTTTTCTTTAACTGTTGTACCTGGACTTAGGTTTCGTGGAGTTAGTTACTGTATATGTCTTGTTTGCATCCTTTACTCCTTGTATTCGAGTCCTGAGTTGTGTTGGGCGACTTTGAAACAGGTTGGTTGAACTTAGAAACCAAGAGTAGTTGCCCAGATTTTGGCCCTCACGCCCGAACGGGTATTTTGACGCTCAAGCGGGCCCTTCGTTGTTGTCTGTCCGCTCGAGCGGGGTTTTCGACACTCGAGCGTAGTTTTCCATCTTCCAGTATCTCCTCTGCAGAGTTGTACGCTTGAGCGGGAGTTTTGACGCTC